GGAAGTGCTCAAGTCCAGGTTGGATGGGGCTTGGAGCAACCTGGGCTAGTGGAAGGTGTCCCTGCCCATGGCAGAGGGTGGAATGAGATGATTTATAAGGCCCCTTCCAACCCAAACCATTCTGTGATTTGATGATCAAATGGTGTAGTAGGGGCAGGACAGGGCTGTAGAGAGAATGGTCTCTTGCTGCAGGCAGAATAAAAATGAAAAGGGTTTAAATTCCAGGAAAAAAACATAATCTGTTGCATTTAAATTGGGGACCCCTTTTCTCAGGTGATCATTTATTGCTCATTCATCATAATCTGGGTGTTTACTGGGCGGCCCCACAGTATAGAACAGCTGAGCCTGTGGTGCAGTCAGACCCAGCTGGAATTGTTGTGTGAGTGTGGGAAGCGCTAAAAGCACTAAAAATAACTTGGAAAACATCTCCAGTTGGCCATCCAGCAACGGTGAGCACTTTTCATCTTGAGCTCTTTTTGCCTTGGCCGCCTTTGTTAAATGTGAGGAAAATAATCCCCAGTGTACAGAAGCTGTGGGTATAAATTAATGTTTGTGAGACACAGGGGGTCCTGAGAGGGGAAACCCCCTGAGGAAGGGGTGGCTCTGCAGTAGCTGAAGGCTCTGCAGGTGGCAGAGCTTCATCATGCCCTTTGCTGCTAGTGGGCCTTGTCTCTAGAAACTCATGAACTCAAACTCCCACTCTGATCCCTATCCAAACCCAGCTCAAGGAGCAGATGGCACTGGCTTAGTCCCCAGCTCACATCCTTTTCTGCGTCCTTCTCAGGGATGGTGAACTTTGTAAGACACTGAAGTCTTTAACCATTAGCAGGCAATAAAAAGGGGCAGTGGAATTGGATAACACCCACTAATCCCCTTCAGGATGAGCTGGAGAGAAGAGCCACTGCAAAGCTCCGGAGCTTACTCTGAGATGAGTGCTTTGGAGGCTTTGAGAATTGCATGGTGTTGGTATTTCATGAATAAATAACCCCCAGTGGAATTTTTCAGTGAATGTGCTTCATTAATGAGACCTGGAACAAAGAGGGAGAGTGGAGAAAAGTGTTTTTGAGAGAATCAAGGCGAGTGTGGGTGATGGGAGGTGGCACAGGGCTGGGTGAGGATGAATGCCATGGTCTGCAGCTGTGCAGGGTCATGAAGGGAGCCCTGCTGTGCTGTACCATGCTGCACATTTGTGGCATGAGAAGTTGGTAGAAAATTGGAGTTTACTGATGCTGGGTGTGTAATCAGTGGGTTCTGGTGTGGAGGGCAGTGTGTTTCATTTATAACTATCATTTGGGTGTCTGTGTGCGTCTTTGGGAAGGCTGGAGAGTTAAAGAGAATATGCATGTGTTCATAGATGTGCATGTACTTGTGGACAGAATCTGGCATCAGAAATTAGGTCACTCACTCCAAAATGCCTTTTTTGGCAGGACCTGGCATCTGTTTCAGGGTGGTGAGGAATTGCCCCTTCCTCTCAGTGCACCAGGTGCTGAGCTCTGCCTGCTCCCTGTGGTTTTGACACCTGGGTCCAGCTGGGGCCACCGGCAGCTTCCCCTGCCTCTGTGGTGTGCTTCCCCTGCCTCTGTGGTGTGCTCCGGGCACAGAGGGACTGCAGAGCTCATCTTCTCCCTCCTGCCCTGTCAGAACAGATCTGGGGCTTAGTCAGTGAAATCCAGCACGGATAGATGGAGAACAAGAGGAAAGAGCTGTTCTTTTGCAGGCAGCTTGTTGCTGCAGGGAAAGTGATTCATCCATCAGGGCTGGTCTGATCTGGCACCCGGGCCGTGGTGGGGATGGCTGTCCCCAGCGGGCTCCGTGCAGTGGTGACCAGATGCTGCCACCGCTCCTCAAGTGTCCCCTGCCTTGTCAGCACTGCCTTCTCTCCAGGGCTGGCTCTGGGATTTGAGGAGTCCCATACAGCAGGCAGGGAGGGACAGGCAGGGGTCACTGCTGGAGCTGCACGAGTGGAAAGTCATCTGCTCCGAGCCACGTGTCACTGAGGGAGGCGGGTAATTAATGATTGCACTTCACTCCCAAAATTAAAAGGAGCTGCTGAGGGTACAGTGCCAAGGGCTTGACAGCGCCTGCCTGCAGTGGGCCTTCATCCTCCAGCCCCTCCAGAGGCAGACAAAAGCAAAGTTTGCTCCCAGATGCTCGGAGCAAGCCTCTCATGTGCTGACATCCCCCTGTCAGGGCTCTGTGTTGATGTGATGCTCCTCTAATCCAACAACAGCCACCACAGAAACAATCCTGCTGATCAGCCTCCCTCCACCTGCCGGCAGTGCTGTCACCCCACTCCTCTCACAGGTGACACTTGAACACTTCCCTCTGGCTCTGCTGTCCAACCATCCAGCAAGGTTAATATTTTAATACTCTTAATGGCTCATTCTGGCTCGGCAGCCCCTGCCCGTGCTTTGCTGGGGGTCATCCATTATGCCAGCTGTGATTTCGGAGAACGGGTTTCCTGTTCTCATCCTCAGCCCTCCCGAGGGCAGAAGGTCGGTTTGTGCTTCCAAATTTTAATTAAAGCACGATGAGCTGCCCCTGGCAGCCCCAGCCCGGGAGCACGGCGCTGTGCGGGGTGAGCCAGTGTCTTCTGGCAGCACTACAGCTCTCGGGAGCAACCCCATCCAAGGACCCAGCCCAGGGTCTCCTTTCTACCACCCAAAGCAGCTGTAGCTCCTCACCTTCTCCCTCCAAGGACATGGGAGCAGCAGGAGGGCTGTTCTGTGGCCAGATGGAGGGAGGGTGGGAGCATGGTTCTCCTCGCAGTCCACCCACGATGAGAGACCCCTTGAGAGAGCCAGATGGGGCTGAGCTTTCGGGGAGGGTGGTGGAGGAGCTGTCACGGTTTGTCGGGTTTGGTTTTTTAAAAATAATTTCCCCCTGCATTAATAAACAGTGTTTTTTGTTAGTAAATAATATGCCCTTCCTCCCTCCCCATCTCTCCAGCAGAAATGTGTGCCCTGATCTAATATATTCTGCCTTTCTCACTCCCTCACTTCAGAGGAACTGCAGATCCTGGTGGGAACAGAGTGCTAATAGAAAACGGCCTCTAAAGATATTTGAAACATGACCAAGAAAGGACAGAGGGAGATTCAGCTCCAAATATGCTGGAAAATCTAGGAGATGGGCCAAGAGAGGGGGAATATCAGAAGCACGATCATTAGGAGGGAAAAGTTAATTGGGAAGCATTAATTGGGGTGAGAGTGGGCAGCACAGACGTGAATTTGCAGTGATGCAGCCGGTGGCACCGTGGTGGGCACGGAGCTGCCCCGATGCTGGGGTAACTCCACCCTGACCCATGGCAGGGGAGAAGCTGCCCACTCCCTCCTTCCAAATGGGGACGTGCCAATTTACTGTTTCTTGCTGGTTTTATGGTATTTTCCTCGTTGAAAGCCCCAACTTCTGGAATCCTGTGATTCCCTTGAAATCCGGAATCTGCAAAATCATGACGTCAGTACTGCGTTAGGGCTTTATTTCTTTGGGTTTGCTCTCTGAGGAGTTTCTAGCCCTCAAGCTTGCAGCGAAAACCTCATTTATACCCTAAAGGCTCCAAAAAAAACAGAAAGCAGACGGCACGTTTAGGGAAGGGGGAAAAAAAAAACCCAACAACAAGCAACAAACCCACCCAGCAATTGATTTATTTTTAAAATCTCATCATTTTGGTGCCAATTTCATTATATTCTTTTTTAATGCCTGACTCATGATTTTTCTGAGCGTTTGGTGTTGGCAGGGCTGTGTGCGGGAGTGTGACGGTGTGTGAGCTCAGGGGCCCTCTGCTGATAGATAACACAGGGCTGCTTCCAGACAGCCCTCGAGGGCTGATGAATATTCCTCCAGTGCTGTTTCATTGCCAAGCAGACGGTTTTCAAATTAAACCCCCCACCAAAAAAAAAAAAAGGGAGATTAGTGGCTCTGGGCATTGAGTCGTTGTGCAGATGGGTGAGCAGGGGAGATGCTCAAGGGGAATAAACCACCCCGTGACTCCCAGCGTTGCCTCAGGGAGTATTTTAAGGTCAGAGGGGTCAGTGTTTATTTGCAGCCTCCTGTGTGTAAAGATCTAATAAACAGCCTGTGCAGGTCAAGTCTGTCACCATCAGTGACTTGTTCTGTGACCTTGGGAACATCACTTTGTCTCTCTCCTGTCAGTGAGAGGGTGACAGGGTCTGTTGCCCAGGATGGGTTGCAGGTATTGGTTAATATATAAACTGTGCTTTGAAGATGAAAAATATCTTGGAGATGCTTAAAGCTCTTGACAAGCATCTGTGTTCCTTTTGCAGGAACCCAGCAGAAGGCGAAGTGCCTGAATGCTTTGTCACAGACAAAATCTGCTGTGTGTGCAGCTCGGAGAGGCAGGGCTGGGAGCTTCCCAAGGCTTCACATGGCCATGGAATTATTCCTAGGCACTTATGCTTCTTGCTTGCTTAAGAGAGGGGTGTCATGGCACGGCAGTGCCTGGGGGTTTGCACATCATGGGCTGGAGCAGAGCAGCAGAGCTGTGCCCTTCATCCCCTGGAGCAAAGCACGGGGATGAGCCTCCACATCCACATCCCAGCACACATGAAGCCAAGTTTCATGTGCCTTTCCAGCTTTGACAGTGTCCCTGGATGATGGATGGGGTTTGGATGCTTAGGGAAGCTTGGCCCAGCTCAGGAAGAGTTTTATGGTTTTGGATTTGCTGTTGTCTAGTGTAGGGCTGGATTCACACACAGCCCCAGCCTACTAATAAAGTGTCTGCCAGTTGCTAGTTTGCATAAAACTGATAGGTAGTATCCTTGAAACCCCGTAACTGGTTGATTCTGTGAAGGATGTCAGAGTTACACAGCAGATTTATTATATATCATAATAACAAAGCCCTAATTTTCTTGGGAAGCTTCCTTTGGCTCGGTTTCGCTAATCAAAACACCGGGATTTTGCCAGAGCCTCTCCTTGTGGATGGCCCTGCCCCTGCCATGTGCTCCAGCTCCCTGCCAGCCCTAATGGTGCCTTTTCTCTCCAAGGGAAGAAGCGATGCTGTCCACCTACTTCGAAACCATCAATGACTTGCTCTCCTCCTTCGGGCCGGTCCGGGACTGTTCCCGCAACAACGGCGGCTGCACCCGCAACTTCAAGTGTGTTTCGGATCGCAAGGTGGACTCCACGGGCTGTGTGGTAGGTACCGAGCCTGCTGGGCCCCAGGGACAAGCCAGAGGGGGATACGACATGCTCCCTTCTGGGGATGTGGCCAGGGGCATGTGTGTGCTGTTGGTGGACTTCCCCCACCGCTGGGGCCTTCACAGTGAATCACAAATCCCTTTGGAACCTCAGGGAAGCAGCCCAGGGGCTCAGATGAGCAAAAGAAAAATCCTTGAGGCTGATGGTTGTTTTCCTGCTTGTCTACAAGCATAGGTGGGAAGCTGTTTTGCTTCTTCTCCTGCCTTGTGCTTCCCAGTGTGGAAGAAAGATGAAGCATCCATCTCCCCATCCTCTCCTCTCGGGGCCTCTCTGACACACTCAGAGTTTTGATTTGTTTCTGAACATGCTCATGTCTTGCCAGACAATCTACTGAGTCCCAGATTTTGCAGTCCTCCCTCCAAAAGACCTCCTAGACCCTAAACCATTAGTTTTGAGCAGAGACTCTGAGTCATAGAATCCTAGAATGGTTTGGGTTGGAAGGGACCTTAAAAATCTTCTTGTTACAACCCCCTGCCATGGGCACAGACACCTTCCACTAGACCAGGTTTCTCAGAGCCCTATCCAACCTGGCCTTGAACACCTCCAGGGAGGTAGGAGGTGTTCCCAGCCACGCTTGCACAGAGGGGTTTTGCTGTGCTTCAAGGTGGGAGCAGCAGAGCTCAGCACCTCACCCAGCTCTAACCCATCTCACCTTGACAGCAAAGTCACCTCTTTTCTGTGAGTGAAGCTTTGTGTGAGTCTGGTGTGACACAGAGACACAGGGCAGAGCCTTGGGAAGTGGAGGAAACCTGGAGCATCCCTTTTCCTCTGTCTGTTGTAGGAGTCCCTGCCTGCCAACCAGCAGTGGTGACCCCTGAGGAGGTCAAGAGCTGTCACCCGCCCTGGCAGCCCCTCAAACACGTGCCTGCTGCTCCAAAACCCCCCAAAAACCCTCTGTCCCTTCCCCTCGTCTCACTGCAGGCAGAGCCCCCTCGCCCCATCCCTCCCATCTCAGCAGAGGCAGGAGTTAAGTGTCTCTTTATTTATTGAAGATGTTTGTACACGGCAGCTGGGAAAGGTCAGGCTGGAGCCGTGCTGTCCCGGGGGGAGGTGTTTTCATTATCCCCTTCTCCGGTTGCTTGTTAAGGCCATTTAGCACGACAACCTGATGTGTCACCAGCAACGCCTGGTGCCATCCCCCCTTCCCGCTCCTCTCCCTTTCCTCCTTTCTTTTCCCATTGTCATTATGTTTTTTGGGGCGTTTTCCCCCTTTTTCTGTGTTGCTCTGAACACCAGCGTGCTTCCCAGGCACTGTCAGAAGCAATCGGGGCTCTGATCGCCCTGTGCTGCTGGGAAGAGATGCCTCTTTTAAAAAGTCAGGATATATTAAGATAAAAATTGTCAATAAATTACAGGCCTAGTGCTCGCCACGCTGGCATGCAGAGAGGCAGAAATGGAAAAACTGTGTCAGTCCAGGAAAATATCCCCCCACTGTAATGCCTGACTTGAGTCTGTGTGCAAAGGGAATGGACTGTGTACACTGCAGGGAGAAAAGAGGAGCAGCAGGAGCATTCTCCTGGAGTGCATCCACTCTCTGGAAGCTGTGGGTGGGAGGTTGCACACAGAGACCACAGGAACCCCCATCCTACACATCACACCAGGCTCTTGGGTCTGTGCATCCCATGGGACAGGAGATGGCTGTGGAGATTCCCATCTCTCCCCACTTTACTCTTCGCCCCTTTTCCTCCCTACTGCAGGGGGATGAGGCTGCTCTGCCCTTTTCTACAGCTCCCAGTCATGGAGTAAACCCCCACCAGCTCTCCAGTCCCAGCTTGAGGACAGCAGAGCTGAGCTGCCCAGAGGAAGTGTGGAGGTGGCTGTTTCATCCCACCTCCATTCCCTGTCTCCCTGCTTCCCATCAGACTGACACAAGGGCACAGTGCTCCATCCAGCTCTCCCAAGCCAGTGCAATATTTTACAATCATCACCTGCTTGTAGGTCCCCCAGCAAAGAGCAAAGGCCTGGAGAGCACTGTCCCATGTTTCTGACTGTGCTCCATGGTTGTTGTCCAGGGTAAAGCCTAACGGGGGGCTGGCAGCACTGCCCCCAGCCTTGGGTCATGCTCAGGGCACTGAGTGCGGTTTCAGGGGGTGGGACTGGAGTCTCAGAGCTCACTGCAGCCCAGCCCTGAAGGTGAGATCGTGGCACCTTCTGCACTGTCCCTGCACTGGGTGATACATCCCCTCCTCATCCCCGTCCCACTCACGGAGTGAGCTGGGCTTCCAGTGCAAGCAGGGGTGGGGTCACATGCTGCAAATTTGCAGGGATGTCGGTTAGTTTTGAAGCTGAACTTCTGTGAACTCAATTTGCCAATTTGGTAAGTGCTATGGGCAATATTGGTATGTAATTTAATTAAGCTCTCCCCTTTTTATAGAGTTCAGGGAGCATTTGCGTACTAATTTTAGCACTAGGTCTGCTCCAGCTTTACTCTGGACGCAGTTTCACAAATCATGACATGTTGTTAATCTTTACCAGTCAACAGTTTATTAATTTGCTGAGGACCACAGAAGTATATAATCAGTGGTTCATCAATCAAGGCTAAATCCAACAAATGTTCCAGGCAGGTACTAAGCATAAAATATACATACAGCCTTGTAAGCAATTAATACACCACAGAGCTGGAGCCGAGTGGCTCAACCAGGGAGCAGCACAAATCTCCAAGATTTCTTACTCCTTTTATATGTAATCATCATCTGTTACCAGTTCCTTCATGCCCTTAATACAGCTTCCAGTAATTCTGCGAGGACTGGGATGCATTTATCTCCGGGTTTTTAGTGGCGTGGGCTCTGCCATTACCTAATTGTTTGGTCTTAAAAGGTCTCGGTTGAAATGTCGAGGGCGGATTGCTCGCGGCTCATCTGGCTGAGCAAAGTCTCCTTGGGCTGAGGAAGGAGAAAGCAGGATGTTGCTTTGCTCACTTAAAATCCTGCGTTCAAGGTGTCACCTGGAAGACCCCACAGGCTCTCCAAGGAGGTCCCCACTGGGAAGGGTGGCAGCTCCCCTGCTGCCATCCTCCACTTCCCATGGGACTGTTTTTTCCCCCCTCATCTCACGGTTTTCTGTTAGTTTTACGTGTACCCAGTAGATGGCATGAGTGCATAAAGGGTTTCTGCAGTTCTTTTCTTGTCGGAGGCCTTTTATTTGGATAATTTTAATCATAGAATCATTGAATACTTTTGGGTGGGAAGGGACTTTAAAGATCATTTAGTTCTAACCCCCTCACACGCAATGGGGAGGGATGCCACCCACTAGACCAGGTTGCTGAAGTATGAGTTGTAACCTTGGTAAGACCTTGGCATTGCTAACTGGAGCCTTGCCATTGAGCCCTAACATAACCAAACAATCCCCAAGCTCTAGAAGGCCTATTTCCATGCTGCTTTTCCTTGTTGCACCCTAGAATTGCTGTTGGATCTGTGGAAGCTACGGGCATTGCCCAAGAAAATAAAATCCCAGTGAGCTTCTCTGAATCTGGTAGCTCTGCAAGTCCAGTGTCTGTTCCATACAGTCTTGCGGGGATCACAGCAAAGCAGGAGAAACTGTGCTGGAGGAATAAGTGAGATTGTTGCCTGTAAAGGACTGTGTGTTGTTGATCCCTTTTACTGGCACGGTGGTAGCAGCGCAGCCCCCAGGGAGGATGCAGAAGGAGGGGGAAGTGCTTGACACTCAGGTGTTGGTGATTTGTAATTTGAGATGAAAACCTGAGAATTGGCCCTGAGAGACTGAAGGAAACACCTGCATCATGGCTTAAATTCAGGGTTTCCCCACCTGTCTCTCAGCTCGGTTTTGCTCGCTGGTGCCAGTCTTCTTGTCCACCCAAAGAGGAGGGGGGTCACTTGCATCTGCTGCCCCATGGCCTTGTGCATTTTTAAGCCTGGAAAGGCAGGATTGCAGCCCCAGGAAAATAAGAGGGCTGAAGGATTTTTTCCCCCAAGGAAAGGAAGCTTTGGCTTTAGCACATGAGCTGGGTGAGGAGGTGGTCGGTTCTCTCCCAGTGCACGTTTGCATCGCTGTGGGAGGAGGCAGCAGCATCTACAGGTGTGCAGGGAAGGTGTGTGTCTGAGCCCCATGGTGCCTCTCAGGCTGGGGTCTCGTCACTGTGAGGGTGACCTGGAGAAGCAGGAGGGCAGGAGCTGCCCAGCTGGGGGTGAGAAAGGCAGCTCAGGATCCCGTGCCAAGGCAGTGGCAGAACTAGCCCCTTGTTTCCTTGTGGCACGAGTGACTTTTCTGGGACAGGTGGTGTGGTCTGATGGTTCTGCGACATCTGTGGTGCCTGCAGATGTTGGTGAGTTAGTTCTTTAAGTCAGATGAGAGTGCCACAGAGGCCAGGGCTGTTGCAGGTGGGTGTGGAAGGGCTCATAGCATTGCTGTGCTCCAGGATCCATCCCACCTTGGGAGAGGTGCTGGCAAGAGGTAGGAGAGTCTACCCAGCCCAGGTGGTGGGTGCTGCTGTTCTGCACAGATGTGAAATCCTGCTGATCTCCTCTCTCACAGGCTCAGGTTCCTCTGGCAGAGATTTATTTCTAATTTGAGTGAGAAAAAAGTATAGTTTGCCTCCAAGGATGATGTGAGATGTTCCTTCCCATGGTGACGGGGTCAGCCTGCCAGGCAGGAGGGATTTTGCCTGGCTCAGCAAGGAAGAGCATCTACCAGAGAGTCACTTAATGGAGTTGTGGCCCAGTGTGACACCAGTGCTGTGTTGGTCCCAGCCTTTTTAGACACAGAAGGAAGAGAAATTTGGCACAGTCCACACAGGTGTATAAGCCTTAGCACAGCCTGTGTGGAGCTAATCCTTCTCTTGCTCTCTTCCACATCAGAATGCTGGGCTGTTCCTCAGCTGCTGAGGAGCAGGGCAGAGAAGTGGCTTAATTTAGGAGTGTAACCGTTTCGGGGAGAAATGGGATTAGAAATGAAGGATCAGGGCAGGTGCTGCTGCTCTG